CCACCTGGTGGAACAACCAGGTACTGCAGCTGGTCTACAGGACATCCATGTTATTTGTCTTGTGGCGCCTCTGTTGGTATATTTATAACTGACTACATTCTGAACAGAACTAATTGATCACTGGTTCCCTCCACAGTCTGATGTCTCACCTCGCGGCCGACGTACGAGTCGGGTTCCTCCACGATGACGGCGGTGTAGTGGTCTGACCGTTGACCCAGCAGAGGCAGCAGCTCAGCAGAGCTGCAAACACAGAGACATGGGTTAGCTGTGAGCAGGGTTCTGGTTCTGGTCCAGTTCTGATCTGGTTCTGGTACCTGTATGGTTCTAATGGAGGACAGTGCTGGGGCCGGTCCAGCCTGGTGTGGTTCTGCAGGATGCTGACCATCACCTGTCGGACAGACTGGATCTCTCTGTCTGCACCTGAGCACAAACACACCTGATCAGGTGGTGTAACGGTGAAATCTGTCCCCCTCACACACCCACTGTCTGTTTGTCTACTGCAGCTCAGAGTTTAACCACGTCGGTCATCAAACTGTTCGGCAGAACCTGGATGGAGAGTCTCACCTCTGTAGGTCGTCCCTCTGTCTGTCACCGGACTGTGGGCCCGGAAATACTGAGGACACAAACACGCCAGAGTGAATACACCTGAACACTGCAGGCCAGGTGAGACACCGCAGGACAGCTGTGTACGTACTTTGAATGTTGGGTAGAACTTGATGCTGTACTCTTTACAGACGTCAAAGTTTTCCTCCTGAGCGCAGTCCAGCACGGCAACACCGATGGCATCCTGCCAGTCTGAAGGACACACAAACATGTTCTGATGTGAAATCATTTGCTGGATCAAACTATGTTCCACATTTTTATTATTCTGTATCAATAACCTGAATATTAACAACAAAAGCATCAATAATATGATCAGGACCTGAGCGGGCTGCCTCACTGGACCTCATGAGCCTCCTCAGAGTCTCTGTCATGGTCCCGGTGCTGCTAAACTCCCACAATGCTCTGCTGCCACCATGAGCTGTAGTCTGTAGACGCCTCCTCTGGTGTGTGTGTGTGTGTGTGTGTGTGTGTGTGTGAGTGTGTGTGAGTGAGTGTGTGTGAGTGTGTGTGAGTGTGTGTTTTGTGTCCCAGGTTTCGGGGGGGCGGGGGTTTTGTCTCCCAGATGACCTCTGACCTCGACAGCAGGTCCACATAAAGACAGACGGAGTGTGTGTGTGTGTCTTTGTATCACTGGTGTTGTGGGGACCAACATCTGTTCAGGAGGGAGCATGAGGTCCTCATAAAGTCCTAAAAGAATAAATCAGGATGTCTTCATGTGAAAGCGGTTCAAAGGGCCTGACAGTCATCTGTAATGAAGACAGATGGACTCTCACGCTCAGGCTGGTTCCCACAGGTTGCTCTGTGTGTGTTCATCTGTGTGTATCTCCGTCTCTGTGAGGACCTATCTGAGTGTTGGACCTCAGAAGTGAGGTTATTTCATCTGGTCCACAGGTCTGAACAACACCACGACTACCAGCATTCCATCCTTTACAGCAGCAGCTCTCTGCAGTCATAATTCTTTATGTTCCTCGTTGTTCTCATTAAAACAAGCTGCTGACTGAAGCAGGAGGAACGTGATTGGTGCGTTCACTGCAGAAGAGTCACATGACGCGTTAAACGCCTCCCTCCATGTAAACATTAAAGACTGGGTTCAGGTTTTGTTGAGCGGATTTGCAAACCAAAGTGTGGATGTGTTGAACCTGCGTCCTGGTTCAGGACTCTGCTGTCTCTCCTCACTGGGTTTCTCTGACTGGTTTCTGCTGTTTTCAAGGTTCAGGCTAGAACCAGACGCCGGAAACCCAAACCAACGATAGAAACGTTTCTATAAATGTGTGTGAACAGCAAACAGTCGGAGCAGATGTGAAAAGATTAAACGCTGCAGGTGTTTCAACTCTCACAGTAATCAGATTACAGCCTCACTGAGCTCACGCAGAAAAACACCTGAACCACCTGAACCTTAATAAGAAACACACTCTGACCTTCTGAGGCGTTTGTCTGAACATCAGTCCTGGTTAGAAGCAGGTCTGTTAACCAACTAACTAACTAACTAACTAACTAACTAACTAACTAACTAACTAACGACCACCATGAACAGACGACAGGCTGAAGCTGCTGCCTCACCGTTAGCTTTTATATTTTATCATCCTGTGCTTTCATCTGTGCAGCAGGAAAAGGAATTCAAGAGTTTCTCTGAACAGGAAATAAGAGCTCTGCCGTTAGCTGACTGTGCTAACTCGCAGCTAACTAACAGCTGACTAGCAGCTCTTTAATAAACAAAGTGAACTGAATCATTAGATGTGCTGCGTGTTCACAGGTGACTGTTCACACCTGCTGCTCCTCAGCTCTGCCTTAGCACCTGTTAGCTCCTGGTAGCTCACTACAGCTCATAACAGCTAACATTAATAACAGCTAACTAGAGCTAATAACAGCTAACTATCATTAATAACAGCTAACTAGAGCTAA